TAGTAGTTTTTCTTACTTTTCCATGATTATATATTTTGCATTATTAATTCTTTTTTGAAATAAATATTTTTGTTAATTATTATAAAAAAGACTTGTGACTAACAGGAAGTGTGACTAAGCTGCTTTTTTTAGAGTGGGTGTTGGAATTACATTCCTTGTGCTTAATCAAATGTGACAAACAGGAAATATCACAATTTAAACCCCCCTCAATGAAAACAAACAACAGCTGACTGAGACGTGATGTTTGTGTGTTTGATTGCTGTTTTGACCCAGGCACCTGCTGGAACATGACCCTGCAACCATTAACTCCAGTGAACTGTGCAGGCCTCCTGCAGCCTGGCTGCTCTCTGCTGCAGCTGGATGGAGAAAATCTCCTGTTTGGGCAGAAAGGCTGGCCAAAGCGCTCGTGTCCAACGGGGGTTTTTGGGGTACGGTTCAAAAAAGGTGAGCTGAAACTGAGGGCCATCTCCTTCTCCAACGACTCGTGCTACCTGCCTCCGCTGCGRTGCCCTGCTGTGTGTCGCCTCGACCCACACGACGGGCTTCCCGAGAGCTACCTCATCCACGGTGGCCGCACCCCAAACAATGAGATCTCGTCGAGCTTATACCTGCTGACCATGGACAGCCGTGGCTGCAATCGCAAACTGATGCTTAAGTGCAAGGAGAAAGAACTGGTGGGAACAGTGCCGAGGGCTCGATATGGCCACACGTTGAGCGTGGTTCAAAGCCGGGGGAAGACAGCCTTCGTGTTGTTCGGGGGCAGGTCCTACATGCCTACAGGGGAGCGCACCACAGAAATGTGGAACAGTGTAATCGACTGCCCTCCTCAGGTGTTCCTGTTTGACCTGGAGTTCGGCTGCTCCTCTGCTCACGCTTTACCTGAGCTCAGTGATGGACAGTCTTTTCATTTGGCCCTCGCCCGAGAGGACAGTGTTTATTTTATCGGCGGACACTCAATCACCTCAGACTCACGTCCGCCTCGCCTGTTTCGCCTACGAGTTGAACTCTTGCAGGGCAGCCCCTTGCTTTCCTGTGAGACTCTAGACACAGGCTTATCAATCACCAGTGCCATCATCACACGTACAGGTCCCGCCCACAGATACATCATCTTAGGCGGCTATCAGTCTGACTCGCAGAAGAGGACAGAGTGCTGCACCGTGACTCTGGATGAGAAAGGAATCCACTTTGAGCCCCTAGAAGCTCCCAAGTGGACTCCAGACATCACCCACAGCCGCACGTGGTTTGGTGGCAGTGTTGGAGAGGGCTGTGCCCTCCTGGCTGTTCCCACCGAGGGAAGGCCATCCCAAGCCGATGTGCATTACTTCTATCATGTGAGCTTTCAAACAGAAAAAGAAAGCCACGAGGAAGAAGGAATCCAGGCCTGCAGCCAGATGTCAACAGATTATGAAAACTCAACCCCTCTCGAGGACTCAGAGGAGCTCTACTTTGGACGCGAGCCACATGAGCTGGAAGACAGCAGCGACGACGAGGGCGACACTTACAATGAAGAGGATGAGGAGGATGAGTCGCAAACAGGCTACTGGATCAAATGCCGCTTAGGCTGTCAGGTGGATGCCAACACGTGGGAGCCCTACTACTCTACGGAGCTCCATCGGCCAGCCATGATTTTCTGCTCCAGAGGGGAGGGGGGACACTGGGTCCACGCTCAGTGCATGGAGCTGCCTGAGACCCTGCTCGTCAAACTGTCTCAGGGCAGCAAGAGGTACTTCTGTCTGGACCACGGAGGCCTGCCCTACCAGATGACCCCGCCTCGACAGGTTATCCCCCTGAAGCGCACCCCCTTGAAAGTGAAAAACAGAAAAGCACCTCTGACAATCACGATGTCCCCAGCCAAAAAAAGTTTTTTCAAAAGGCTTTTTCAATAACTCTGATTTTCTTTTCTTTTAACGCTCTCCTGGTTAGATTTTCTGCTTGGAATATTTGATTTTTTTTTTGAGTTACAGACAATAAAATAAAAATTTGTTGGAAGTTTTTGTCTTGGATTGCAACATGTGGCTCAGCTGCACGTTTTCATGAAAATTTGAAAAGTTCTTTATTGTTTTTATTCTATTTTTTCATTGAATTCAAGTGTTTTTGGGAAAAATTGTATGAAATAAAACTGAATAAAAATTGTGATGAAAATAAAAACAAAAAAGAAAAAAGGTTTATTCTTTTGACTTCTTACTTGTGTGTTTTTAATTTGCCATTGCACGAAAAAACATAACACTTTTATAGCTTAGGATTAGTTTGTTAGTGTTTCTAGTTTGTGTTGTATTTGTTCAGGCTTTATGAGGCCATCTGTTACTGCAGCACAACAATTCACTTGTCATTTTGAGAAGAATTTTAAACAAAACTAAATTCATGGTGTTTGGAAATCAAAAAGAAACTGCAAAAGATGTGATATTAAAAATAGGTGATGTTGAAATTGAACGAGTGTCTGAAATAAAATTTTTAGGGATTATTATTGATTCTCAATTAACATGGAGACAACACATTAAACACATAAAGGAAAAGATACCAAAAACAAGAGCCATTCTATATAAGTCTAGGAATATATTAAATTGCAAGGCTTTGCATATTATTTACTCTTTTTTGTAGCCACTTCAGTAGAAAGCAGAACTGAATATCAGTTTCTTAACTTCTTCATCCTCAGTGACGTTTTTTTTTATTTTTCGTATTATTTACTCTTCACTTATACTTCCATATATATCTTATTGTGTGGAAGTGTGGGGTTCCACATATAAAACAGCAATTAATGATATAGTACTTTTACAAAAARGAGCCATACCTGTTTTTAACAAGTCTAGTTCCCATGAAATCCACTATTTATTACATCTGGTATCATGAAATTCTATGATTTGGCTCATTACAAAATAATGCAAATAATGTTTACAGCAAAATTAGGTGTGTTGCCTGTTGGGGTGCAAAGATTTTTTATAATGTATGAATCTCAGTATGATCTGCAACATGTTATTAAATTTATAAAARGACAAGCTAAAAAAAGAAATAAAAAGGAGGTCTTTTTCTGTTGTAGGAATTAAAATATGGAATGATGCAAGCATGGACTATGTAGTTCATTAAGGGTTTTCAAAAAAATTCTAAAAAGATATATATTTGAGGGTTACAAGTGAAAAATAACTTTAAATTGTTATTGTATTTGTTTTGTTAAGGATTGTTGTTTTCTTTGTTTTTTGTGTGTTTTTATAGCAATGAGGGGTAGTTTAGTTTAATTTGATATGTAGGACAGGCATAAATATAAGCCTTGTGCTTTTGCCTGTACCTTTTCAGTCAAAATGTTAATATTTTTGTACTGTTTTGTAATGTTTTGATTTGTTGCTGAACAATTTTGATGACTGAATAAACGATAATCAATCAATCAATCAATCAATCAATCAATTTTCCCTTATAAAGAAATACCAACCGCTTATTAGAAATAGAAGCATTTTCAAAAACTGGAGAAAAAAATCCTAGGGTAAACGACATCCACAAAAATCAACCACCATATTCAGGGGAAAACATGATGGATGCAGATATTAAGTCATGTTTTGTTACAGAAAGCAGCAAACTCAACAAATTCCTGACTGAGGTATTCCGAGTATTCTGCCCCGTGCAGGTATGACATTAAATCAAAACCATCACTTCAGCCTGCTTTTATTACACTTCTCCCCTCCTGTGTCAACCTTCGACATCGCCAACAAGAGTCTGTCAGTTTAGGAATGACAGCTTGTAGCAAGCTGCCGGTTGCATGGCAACTATGGGAACTTCACAAGCGTGGCAGGAATTCAATTCAAATTCGCTTTGCTGGCATAGATGTCACAACAATTTGGGAGTTAGTGTCTGTTACAAATACATAATAGATAAAAATGGATAAAGCTCGGGATCCATGGGCCCAACTCAGCAGTGTATTTCTGGACTGACATGGAAAAGTTACTTTATATAAAATGAACAAATCTATACATTTGAGTCAAAAAAATGATCTTTCTAGAAAAATACAAATGGGAATGGTTTAGACCAAATTTTATGCTGAATGTAAAAAACTGCAAAAAAATGCTAGATCTTTTGAAAATGGATTTTGAAAAYGTTGTTAACAATTATTATCTTACCTGTTGTAGATAGCTTTTTAACAGCTTCAGCTTAACAAAATAAATGACTTTTAATGGATTGTCAAGCTAGCAGCTGGTTTAAGTGGGGTCAAGTTCAAAGTGACATGCTACTTTAAAAAAACAGTATCACAAAATGTTCTAGAGGTTCATGCAAACACTATTTATTAAACATTTAAATCCTCAGTTTATCATTATTTGATTCTTCTAGCTAACACATCATGATGTTATCAGTCACTTGGACAATTCACCTCCACTGTTATCACAAATGTTCACCTTTACATACATTTCATTTATTTATATTGTACTGTAATGGTATCTGTATGTATAGTATGTTGATGTATATGTGTGTATATGTATATATGTACATATGTGTATACAGTATGTGCATTGTTATATATTATGTGTATATTGTTTTTTTCTCTTTCCTTTTATTTATCTTTTTTCTTTATTTTATCTCACCCTCTCCTGTACTGAGTTGCAGTAATGCACAAATTTCCCCACTGGGATCAATAAAGTTTTATCTTATCTTATAACTTATAACTCAGGAGTGTTAAACTCAGTGACACAAGGGTGCCGAAATTCAAAACTAGTTCAAGCCAAGAGCAAATTTCTGTCATCATTTTAAAATTGTTATATAGAAATAGTAATAAAAGTTACCTTTTCCAAATGATGCTTTATGTAGTGTTTAGAACATACATAACCTAATGAATTAAAAAAATGTAAATTTAGAAAGACTAAAGATAATCAGAGGTAAAGATAGTTGCTGGCCTGCTCTTTGTACACAATAACTTTTTCTGGGATTAGAACACTAATATCGTTAAAAACTAAAAGAACAAAAAACAAAAGGATAACATCAGAATTTTTTATTTATCATTTAAAACCAAACAAAGTACAAAATCCATCATCCACAACAATAAACTTTCAACAGGATGTCCCTTTTGCAGCTGTAGTATCTAAAAGAAATAGAAAAATGAGCAACATGATACTGTTTGGCTGTTTTAGTGTAATATTTCGCTTTTACGTGAAATGCATGACCAGAGCAATCTAAGTGAACATGTCACCAGATTTTTAGTGTATGTATGAAAGCACAAAATAGGAGAAAACACTGTGAAATGTGAACAAGTGAGATTCTGTGACTCATCCATCATCCATTACTTGCGAAATGTAATTCATTACAGCAAAAAAATAAAATATGTGACAAGTTGCAATGTGATGCACTCTAAAAAATGATGTTATTGTGCAACTCTGACAACTGTCCAATGAAATGTGAATGCTTCATTGCTGCCTCATGGTTAAACTTCACGACAGTAAAATAGAACCAAACGTTCAATCAAGTAAGAAAACAAAATTGCCTGTCACAAATCAAAATGCTGAGGGCAGAAAAGACAATGTGATCAATCAATCAAATAAATAAAGTTGCAGAAAAATCAGTTTACATCAGGTCTTTCTGGTTTCCCCCTGCATCRCTCTCCTCTGTCAAGACTGGCAGTGAAGAAATACCAGCAGAGGAGAAAGAACCAGGTCATAAACAGGAGTGGGGAAAAATCCCTCCATGCAAGAGAGTCCATGGGGTATTGAGCTTTCTAATGGACCGTACTTTATTCTTAAGATATCAACAAAAAGGTCAGTGTATGCTTTACTTTGTGTGAAGATTTCAAATAAATATCATCTATCTTTCACCGTGCAAAAACCTAAAAGAGACAAAAAATGGTTTTAAAGTGACCTGGCAACTATCCTGGCCCTTGGGGACCCTGCGATAAAGCGCTAAAGTCATCTTTTTTCAGAGGGCACTCATAAAACAAAGAACATTTGGGTCCCTGTGATTGCATTTTCCTTCGACTAAAATGATATATTAAAACACTGGCCACAAATGTGGTCTTTTTAACACAATTTCCCTCCATGACTTACAGCTTTTTCATCTGTTTCCATAAATATCCCCTCCGTATAAATTCATAAATGTGTCATCTTTGCAATACAATAAAATGCACCATATTTCACAGACAGCAAAAGTTGAAAAAAAAGAACAAAGGAAAAGGGGCAAAGAAAAAGAAACTTGGATGTTACTTTTACTATTTCTCTGCTGTTCTAAGTGTAGGAACTAACAATTCAAGCAAGGTAGGTTAAATTTAAAGTAAATTTGATACGAGTAAAGCAAACAATAATAAACAAAAAAATATAGTTGAGAAAATTCAAGTGTAAAAATGTGATTAATCAAAAAGGTGTTTGTTGAATCAAACAATCAATGATAACTTTTTGGGGAAAAAAATACTTGAACTGAAACGGCATGTTTAATTAATGTTCAAATCAGATTTTGAACCCACAGCATGTTGAAACTGATGGCCTTTCAACATGGATTAAAGCATCAATCAATAGGTACAGAATGTAAAAACGTGTAAAAAGAAAAACAGAGGTGTGGGTTCACTCTCAMTTGAAACCAATCAAATGTTAAAAGCATGGGGGAAAATTTCAAAAATCAGTGACATCCAGAGACATGTCCTCATCATCCTGCATCTCTTCTGGGTCGATTGTCGCCTGGAAAGCCTTGGCAGAGTCTTTATGAGCTTCCATAAACTTCTGCAGGAACTTGGAGGTGTAAAGCCAGTGGTGTTTCAGCACATCCTCCAGCTCGTAGGCCTTTGACTGACGTGCATTCATCTTCCTGAATCGCCTGAACAGTTTGTTTGCCGACTCGTTCCCCTCGCTGGCCCAGGCTCCAATGGATCCATCTCTCTCTATGATTTCAGGCACGTGAGCCAGGGTCTTGTGCAGGTAATTAGTTATTTTTCCATTGTACCTATATTTGAAGGTAGAGGAGAGAAGGTCGGCGAAGCGCTGGGAGTTAAAACTGTACCGGCACAGCTGGTCGGGGCACTCTTTAGCTGGGCATGTGGCGCGCCACACAGGCTTCATCTGCAGGTAGAGTCTCATAAGCTCCCTCAGGGCTTCTCTCCTCTCCTCTGAGGGCACCAGCTCACACACCACCTCCACAGACTCCATGGTCATTAACCTGCGGGCATAGTTCCCATTCATCCTCATTACTGGTTTAAGCTTCAGGTTCTTTCTCAGCTGTTTATCTAAGGCTGCCCTCCAGCTGCGTCGTTCCTCCCGGCTGGGGTTGGCCTTTTTGAACACTTCCCCGATCTCGTCCTGGAAAATTTTGTAGAACTCAGTGGCATTGCCGATGTCGCAGTGCAACGCATCCAGGGTGGGCTGAGTCTCCATAAAGGGCTTGGCAGAGACGCCTTTGACTCTGTCTCGCAGCTCATCCACAGATTCAGAGTAGGGGTTGGTTCTCCAGATTTCGTAACGGTCTAGATTCTCCTCGTGGCAGCGAGTGATGGAGTGTAACACCATGTTTTGAGCTGCCTCGGCGCGACTAGAGTCACAGAGAGTACAGACATATGTGGACCCCGAGGCCTCCAGCCCCTCCATTTCACGCACCATCTTTTCATCATAGCCCGTGCCTCTGAAGTGGAAGCGAAAGGAGCGCAGCATCCCACCCATGGACAGAATGAGCCTGCTTTCTTTCATTGCATTTCGCTCTGCAACAATGGGCCCCAGGACACCTGTGAGTGTCTCATGGTCTGACTCATCGACAAACATAAGACAAAGGGGCTTACAGGACAGTTCTGAGTTTGGCTTTGGTTCTGTGAAAATGGTAACTTCTTCATTCTTGTCTTCACTCTGGATAGAAACAGACATGACAGTGAAAGAGAAGCGAACAGCCTTTTCTGGAACCGRTGGTCCTCCTCCGTGTTTTTCACTGACGTCGCCCATGCCATCACAACATTCCTTGATCATAACGCTAAAACCTAAGGTGCAAGCGCTGTCTTCCATCCCCGTCTCTCTCAGCCCTTCCATGATGTCCTCCTCCAGATCCTTTAACGCCGCCACCAGCGCCACGTCGTAGCGAAAGCGTCGAGTGATGGTGTCAGCGGGAGCGTCATCCACAGAGGAGGTCCATCCAGAGAGCCCATTAATAATGCCAACATTGCAAGAGGTAGACACGTTTTTTAGAGCTGGCTGCCATTCGAACTGGTGAAAGCCAGGGAGAAGTTCTTTCTCTGCAGCTCGGAGGGTGTGCAAGGGCTGAAAGATTTGGCGGCCACTCGTGGCTTTGACAGTTCGGTACATCTTATGGTACTGGCTGCAGCTCAGGAAGGTGTTGATCCGAATGGCCAAACACACAGCTGGACTTAAACCAAAGCCTCTGCCTGCAGAGAAAGGAAACAAAAGGTACAAAGTTTAGGAAGAGAATGAGAGAAAAGCAAAATGTAATCTTGAAAAATAAATAAAAAGGAATGTTTATGCATGAAGAGATTTATTTAACACTGATCCACTGAAGCCCATTTCCTTTCATTTGAAAACAATAAAGAAACCAGCATTTTCTCATTTGATTTCCTACATTTGAAGTAATTTCTACAATGAGACAGAAGGAATTGCAATTTTACCACCCAAATGTGAACATATTGTTGTCAAAAACACACAACTACATGATTACAAAATCCAATATTTCCCACTTTCCAGATGTTAGAAGGGGACATGGCGAAACTGGCAAAAGTGAAGCTGGCAAAAGTGATGTATTGGCTGAAGATGAAAACAGACACCAGCTGCCTTCGATTCCCCTGAGAGGAGGATGGTGCTGTCTGTGTAATTTGCAGATACAAGGGCTGCTGATGTTGTTTTGATTCTAACAGCCCCTTCACACGACTTGTTACTGTGCATTAAGGGGAGTGTGAGAATGAAAGACTGACGTACAAAAAGAGTGAAAGCAAAGAAAGAGGAAGGGCCTGAAACAACAGGTTTTTCATTAGACAGAGATGGACAATAATGAAATGTCTTCCAATTCATCCCCCCACCCCCCCAAAAAAAAACACCTTCTCTCCCCTCAGTGTTGAACTTTTCAACTCATTGTTATTTATGACATGGCTGTATTCCTCAGAGGTAGGTGTAAATATTAATGAGCAAACACTATAATGATTAACAATTGCTTTTTTTGGTCTTTTTTGTGACTAGCTGACTGAAGAAAAGGCTTTAAATAGCTTCTTACCTTGCATCATGGCCTCGAGCTCATCTGCCTGCCGATGCTCATTCCCAGATCTCAGAGCGAGCAGAAACAGGGTCAAACACACCGACTTCAGATCACCGCCCTCCTCTTTATCTGCAAACACCTTCACCTGGCTCTTCAGGTCTCTCAGCCGATGCTTCTGAGCACGACGGGTTAAAGAGAGCAAGTGCTGCCGGGGTCTTCCACCTTTATTGGTTAGCAAGTAGTTTTCTAACTCTGATGAGTTGTGGTTTGTCTCCAGCTCATGGCTCAGACAGTGGGCCTTGAATGAACAGAGTTGCACTTGCTTACCGCAGCCTTCGCAGGGGCACAGCAGTGGCAGGGAAAGCAGTGCGGTCGAAAAGGTTTTGGCGGGAGGGATGAGATCATCAGGGGGACAGGAAAGGTTGCATGACGGGCAGTGGGGTCCCAGAACATGGGTGAATTTTATGATACAGCTGCGGCAGAAGAGATGCCCGCAGGGAGCCTGAACTGGATCTGACAGCAGGTGGTCACACACCAGGCAGGTGAAGGACATGATGAAGTCTGCAGGGAGCTTCTCAGAGATCAGCTTGATACTCAGGTGGTCATTCTGGCAGTGTGTGATACTCTTGACCCACTGCTCTCTCTGGATGCCAGTTTTCTTCCAGGCTCTTACCACAGGCCCATGTCGGTCTCCGAAGGGCCTCAAGGCTCTCTTCTCACCAACAACAATGCTTTCACCATAGTCCCACCTGCTCCTTTTGGCCAGACTCTGCACTCTGGGAATAATTTTCCTCCTCTTCCTCCCCGTCCTTTGGAACGAAGACTTCCTGGGGGAGCAAAGGTTGCAGTGAGAAGAATGRGGCTTCCATTCGGAGATTTTTGTCCTGGTGAAACTGCAGACTCCTCCTCCTCGAATGGCAATCATCCAGCATCGGTGGCAGAAGGAAAGGGGGTGAATAGATTCCGTGTCCTCGGTCACATTCACTTTGAAGACCTTCAGGATGACTTCGGGCCAGGTTGTGAACTTGCAGCCCATTTTGCGCAGTGCACATTTGCTCACTTCATCTAGAGCATCCTGAACATTGTGCACTGGTCCTTTGACTTTCCTCAGCACCACTCCACAGATACGACACAAGCACCTGCATTTAAAAATGAATACTGTCATTTTTTTTATAAAAGAAAAGCACAAAACAAGGTGATTTT